GCAAGTCCAAGATTAAGCGTCAGTTTTAACGAGGTCCAGCTTGCCGGGAGCTTTTTGAAGTGTCCCTAGCTCACTTACAAAGCCAGAAAACAACAGAAGCAACGCCGACAGCTGTGAGAGTGTCTGGTTTAGAAGAAGGTTTTATGTCTGGATGACACCAGACTGGGATTCAGCTTTAATGTACTAACTAGGTCTGCTGGTTTCTGGAGCCCTAATCATTCTGCACAAACTGTCTCACCCTAATGAGTTGCACAAATAATAATTCTTCACAAATCAGATCCACACCATCAGCTTTGTGGATAGACAAGGCTGGTTTATTGAGGTAAATAGCACAAGTCAGCAGAACCCACACTGTGTCTCACTAGCCATGTTTAATATGCAATCTAGAATCTGAAGGGAAAAAATCAAATGCTGTTTCTGTGGATGCAGGGCTGGTATGAATTATTTTCAACTACTAAAGACTTAAAGGAGCACCCAGCTCCTTTTTTTTACCCTAGTCTGAATGCACTGTAATCACTGTGGACCCTTACAGTCTTTATAAGGGAAATTTAGATACTTTTGAACCAAGAGGTTTGGATTGCTTATAAACTTAAATTACATAAAAAAATACCTTTCAGCCTTATAGATTTTCTCCTTGAAGTTATTACAATTATTTTTTCACTTCTGTAAATTAAGATTGGTTTTCATTAACTAATTACCATGGTTATTGCAGTTCTTTTATGTATTATTAATTAGGTTGAGTGGTACATTTAGAATTTAACATCTCAGTTAAGAGAGTTTTGTTTAGCATACCTAATGCTCTGAAAGCCCTGAGCATGCCATATATCACATAGGACTTAAAGATGAGTGCAGGGGAATCTTTTGGGGATTGAAGTTATCTATGGCTGGGAGTTATACAGTACAGCAACTGAGGAGCAAAAGAGAGAGGTAGGGCGTGTGGAGATGCATACACCAACTTAAAATAGAAAAGTTCTTTCTGCAGCAGAGAACTGCAGGATTATTGGAGCCCAGCTGATGCAAAGTTATGTGTTGTTTTGCAGTGATGACTGGTTTTCATATGCAAACCCCTTAATGTGTCTACATATATGTGCTGATGCTGTGAGAGCAAGCTACCCTGTTAATTTATTTCCTGTAATTCCATGTAGGTAGCCATTCTGCATCTCCGTTTGATCTTGCTTGGATTACTTACATGAAATCAAAGTCATTTCTTCATCTGAGACTCAAGCTGTAATCTCTCTGGGGCAGTAACTATCTTTTATATTGCACTTGCATGAAGGGTGAGGAGGTGGTCCTGGTTCCTCAACTGTGAGCCTAGAAGTGACTACAATCCAATTAGCAGCCAAGATAATAATAACAGTATCCAGTAAACTAATGCTGTGCCTCTAAATTGGTTCTTTTGCCATTGTTTTGCCTAAGAAACTGTAATCCTATGAATTTCTTGATTGCCTGTAGCTCTGATTATAAAAACAACTTTCCCCACCTACAGAGTAAGAAATAGATGGCTGAAAATCAAATGATATTTGCATTGCAGAGGCATCTCTCTGGTCCCCACTATTTCTCTTTCTAGCATTCTCCTGTCAGGAGCTACACACACACCTACCAGCTGTTTCTCTTTGTGCAGGAGAAAACACAGTTTATAAAACTATGTACCTGCTCAGTTGACCAGACAAAGCCCTTCACAGAAACCTGTTGGAACAAAGCTCAATGCCTGCTCCATGTGCTGCTGCTCTTCACACTGGAGTTAAATATATCACTGCCAACCTTAGCCCTGGCTTAACTGTGATGGGGTGAGAGGCCATAGCTGCCAGGAAGCTGGCGAGGGAGAAAAGTGAGAGAAATAAAGGAAGCAGAAACAACTGACACTGCATGAAAATGAACCAGCTTTGCAACACAGGGAAACAGGTTTCTGAAGGGGAGTGGGTGAGAAGTATGGAGTATGTGGCTTTCCCTGACATGGTGGTTGTTCTTCCCATGATGTCCCATGTCACCCATGTCACCTTCTCACCAAACTGACACTGAAGTTAACTGGCAGGAATCCTTGCTCAAACTAAAGAATCCCTGCAATGTTTGATAGAGGTTGCTTTAGCCTGCAGATGAATCTTTTGGAAAATAGGGAATTTTACTGGATCCAAAAGGTTAGCTGTATTTGCCAAAGAGAGAAACCCTGCTTTTTTTGATGATACACACAAAAAAAACAATGAGGTTTTGTTAAAATAAATAGACAACCACTGCTCTGGAGGCTCTGGATGTGAACGAGCAACAGCAGCGTTAAGGCATTTCAAAGCAGAGTGAATGCGATTTTCACACCTATTCTTTTCTAATTTAGGTTCATTTGAAATCCAGGCACCCCTCTTTTACTAATTTGTTATGGCAGTATTAATTAATGGTATTTCCCTACAGCAATAAGAATGCCATTTAGACTAAGACAGGTTAGAAGGACTACAAGATTAGAAAAAGAATTGCAAGTTGGTCAGATGGAGCTGGGGGCCACCTTGATCTCCTGACACTTGGAAAACCCGGGAGTGTGTGGATGAATTTCTACTAGTGCAGACTCATCGGGGCTGGTTAGGTCAGCATCCTCTGATGTTGCCTCCTGTATTGGAATGTAAGAACATGAGCTTCCAAAGTGGGAAGAAACAATTGTCAGACTTCCATGAAAGCTGAAAAAATTGCATTTTATTTGATGGAGAATATGAGTTCAGACCAAGTATGCCAGGAGAAAAGGAGTAATATTTAGTGACTTATACAAGATACAGTGAAGAGTTGTAATTTCCATTCTCATTTACACTGCTTTAACTGACCAAACACCAGAGGGGCTGACTGAGTGAGCAAAGGCAGTCACTTGATGAGGTACTGCATAACACAGTGAGAACAAGAAAAGATGCTTCTGGATTTACAGCTTAAGCTTAAGTCAGTGGAAATATGTCTGTTGGTTTCTCTGGAAGTTGAATTATGATTTAGCGAATAACACAAACTCAGGTTTTGTGTCACAGCTGCTATATCTGTTGATGAGAGCAGCTTGTAAGGAGGTCAGCAAAAATCAGTGTTAAGGCTTATCTCTCAATTAATGTGCTGAATGCTGGCATTAAAAGTAATCTTTTACTTGGACAATACATAACCACTCAAGAAATACCGACGGAGAAAGTTCAGTGACACCTTTTCACTGACATTTATACTTCCAGAACAGTGAAGAAAAGACGATAAGGAGGGCAGCAGTCTACAGAAAGGAGAAAAGGCCATAAAAAAGGGAACATACACTGGAGAATATGTCACTTAATGAACAACTGGAGACTGAAGTAAAATGTGATATTCAGGCAGAAGGTGAGCGTGAAGCCAAGAAACCAGGGAATATTTCAGAGAGCTCAGGAACTGAGGCAATGATCCTTGTGGTGCAGTTTAAGAACATGACAAACCAGAGGTCAGTAAATACAAGGTATTTACCTGCTGACAGACCCAGCAAAGTTCACTGGGGGCAGCAAAGCAACCACCAGAATGGGATTACTTATAGCCAGAATTCATTTGGGTAGGAGACACTAGAGGTACCTCATTTAAAACCATGTGTACTTTGAAGGAGCACTGGAAAGGTGAAACTGCTGTGTTGGCTGAAGTTTCCAAAATGCCTGCAAAGCACTCTGTGAAGATCACTGTTATTATTGAACTGTGTTATTATCTCACTGCTTCATGGAGTTTGCAACCTGGAATTAAAAGAAAAGTGGAGGATTATGGTGTATTTTAGAATTTCTCACATTTGTCATGTTTCCTTTTTGGAAACATAGAAAGGAAACTTCTGGGTCACCAAATATAATTCCTGGGTCCTGCAGGCAGTCATGTTACCTAGAGGATTAATCTCCTATCAAACTCCTTGAACATATAATGACCGTCTTTACTAAAGTTAATGAGAATTGCTACTCATAATTTGCATTTACACACTACTTAAGGATCTTGAAGTGTTCTTTCATATAATATTCTCATTTTTATTACAGGCATATTGAATTTAAATGACTTGCCTAGGGTCTCATAGCAAGCCAGCAGCAGAATGACTCGTAGTGCTCCATGTGCTTCATATTAAATCCTGGACATTAACAGCTCCCTTCATAAAGGGAGCTTTGTAGCTGTAGATCACCTCCTGGCGCTGATGAATCAAACATTTTCTGATACTGCAAACAAATCAATAAATTACTTGAACCCATGTAATGCTTTCCAGTGTCTGAAAAATCCTGACTTCCTGTGAACTTAAAAAATGGACACAAGTCTGAGTAATGCTTAGATAGCCTTTGACCTATGACCAGCTACGAAATTTTCATGTGCTAAGTACGCACCTCAAATCTCTATTTTCTATATGAATACAGCAGTTATCTCTACATTTGTTCCAGGAAAGCTTCAAAGCTTTCAGTACACCTTGTGCTGTTGGAGGCTTATGGAAAACAAAAAAAACCCCCCAAACCACACAAGCCCTGATATCAAACCAACTAAACAAAAAAATAACCCCCCATAGTAGGACTATAACAAACAAAATTCCTTAACTTTTCCAGTGGCAAAATTGCTCTGACACAGGCACATTCCTTATGACTGATGTCTTCTCTGAATAGCATGGTCCTCATCAAAAATTAACTCTAAAAGGAGGAGATGGAGGATCCCTTTATATATGGGCCCCTCTCTGTTAAGAAAGATGCAGTACCATCGAATTACCTGAGTTTTCTGCCTGCGTCAATATTATCACTGTCTCTAGCAAAGTGAAATATTGGTATTTCCTCCTATATTTTGCCCTCTCATCTATGCCTCCCATTGAATAAGCTTCAAATTGTACCCAATGATTTCAGGATACTATTTCCAAGCTTTTGCCTGTGTCTCTTTCTACAGGAACAGAGCTGTTTTGTGGCACGACACTTGCTGTAACATCAGAGGAACCACTGGGTAGACCAACAACAGCTACAGCAATACCGATCCCACTCATCAAAAGAGTTCCTCCAACGTGGTGGCAGCTACCCAGGAGCTCTCACCTGTGGCAAATGGTGACATTTACTCCTGCTGGGAATGTGGCTGGGCAGACGAATGTTAAAGAGGGCCTGCAGGGCCGCCTGCGCCGCTTGACCCTTGGCCAACTTCTTGCTACGTCCTGAGCCTTCAAACGTTCTCCCGTCCACTCGCACGGCCATCACAAAGCTCTTGATGTGCTGCTTCTCCACCGTCTCCGAGAGGCAGACGTAGCGCAGGCCGGAGCGCAGCTCATTGAGCAGCACCACCGGGTTCTTCTCGCTCTCCGCCTTGGCCACCCTGTGCTTGCCTGGCTTGGCGTGGCCCATCAGGTCCAGCGTGTGGCAGAGTAAGCGCCCGTGTCGGTAGGCGGTGGAAAGCAGCTCGTTATTGACGGGGTTGTAGACAGAGAAGTCCTCGCTGTGTGTGGATGGTTCGAACTCCTTGAACAGAGTGTCTGGGAAGTCTGCCTGATCCGAAGTGAAGTCCGTGGATGGGCTGATGCAGTTTCCCATGGCGAAGTGGGCTTGGCAGGCGTTGGGGAACTGAACAAATGACTTCAGAGCTAATTCTGCGGCACGCATTTTTGCTTTCTTTTTTGTGGGGCCCGTGCCTTCAAATGTAAGTCCATTTACTTCTACAGCAACAGCAAAGACTGGAGCATGCACTGGACCTGTCTGGGAAACCATTTTATATTGTAATCCTGGTTTGAGTTCGTGTAGCTGAACCAGGGCGTTCTTTGGCGTCACTGACCATGAAACTTTCTTCCAGATAAGCTGAAGTTTGCAGAAATGGCCATTATTGCCTTCCTCTAAGGGTCTTTTCCTCTTACTGCTAGTTGTTCCCCCTCTTGACCTATCAGTAGATGCTATTGGATGATCCTCCAGATTGCCAATGTTTCGATTTTCCTTTACTTCTGCACTGCTGGTACCTGTCAGTAAAGAAAGGAAACAACTTGCATTACAATTGTCATCATCGTAGCTGACATTATGCCTAGGGGTGTCAAAATAGCCAAATAAGAAAAAAAAAGAAATTGTTGCTACGCCCTTTTTAGGAGTTTTCCTTAAATATCTGTATAATGGTTGGTTTATTATTTCTAGCACAGTTTTTTTGCATGTTCTGAATGTTTACTTGTCCCCAAAATGTCTGCTTCTATTAGTCATTAGCCTTCTGTTTTAAGAAAAGATTACATCATTCAAAGATGGAGCATAATGGATGCCATGTGACTTAAATGAACTGCTTGATAATTACTAGTAAAATGTAAATAATTTGCAAAATTCCCTTAGGATGACAATTGTTCTATAATCCATGGAATGTTTATGAACACATTATTAGAAATCAGAAATGATTCACAAATAGAAAAATGAGCCAACACATTGAATAATCTATTTGCAGTTAATACATTGACTGTCTCTGCTGATACCACAGCCTCTTCTGTTATAAACATCATGAATCCAGACTAGGAAATGATATGACAGATCTTCATAGCATTTGAAACAATAATTTGGTCTAGACTCAGATCCCAGTTTAGTAAGTGAGTGCCTTTCTGTCAAATTCAATAGCAGATGTTCTTAGTTTCTGCATCAGCAATAACTAATATTGCAAAAGTTGTAGATAAATCCAGATGAGACCAGGAGAAGCCAGAGCATCATGGTGGGAGCAATTACTGATGTAAAGGATGATCCTTGTCAAAGAAAAGCAACAGGAGAGATTGACTGCCAGGAGTGCCAGGAAGGGAATGAAATGACAGTGGGGAGCTATGGAGGGAGCACTATATTGTTGAACCAATCCCCCACTGCTCTGGGCCATGCCTGTGCAATGTGCTGCAAGGCAGTGCTCTGTGCCACAGCAGAGGCATGGCTGAGGATGGAGAGTCAGCTCACTGATGTCCTGAATGAGATACAAGATGTACCGCTGGCTAAATAACCGTCCTATAAAATTTCTATAATTTCTGGTGAGTTTGTTTAAATGTCTTGCACCTCTGACACATCCTCCAGTCCTCCTGTGCATTCCTTGGGACAGAGACAAATGGAGGAAGTAAATATGGGTGTAACTAATCTACAAGCCAACCCATCTCAGGAGTGATGCATCTGATCCCTTTCCAAGCAGAGCACTGTGTGGAGCCACTCCAAACAGCTCTGGGCATGGAGCCTTTCCCAGGTTTTGGTCCGATAACAATTGATAATAATTTGATAATAATTGGTCCAATAAGTCAGACATGATCATGCTGCCTGCACAGGCTGTGTCAGTGCCATGCACACAGAAGATCCCTGTGGTCCTTAGGGGACAGGCCGTGTCTGGTGGGGCCATGGCCATGTTTGGTTTTCTCTCTACTCTGATAAATTGGCTGCAAGGTTGTAAGGGGTGAGCTGCTGGCTAAGCTTTGAGAAACTTCTGCTGGAGTGCTGTGTCTGTGCTGCACCCCAGTATTCACCTGGGCCAACAGATGCACAGGAGCCTGCGGAGATTATGTGGAACCAACAACCACGGTTAAAAACTTCCTTTATATCCTGAAACATTACAGTTGTATTTAATATCAAAAGACTTTTTCCCATCAGAGCACTAAGTCTGCACTCATGCAAGTTGTTCCACAGAAAGAGGGTCACTGCTTAGACGGGAGTAATAATCATGGCACAAATGGGGGCCCATTTGCAGAACTGTGTCTTGAAAGCCTGCAGCACACACTGAGCTTCCAGCCTGGGTCTTTGTCTCACCAAAGTTATCACCGAAGAGCTCTCTTCTGCAGTGCTTTGCTGAGGCAGAACATGAACTGACAGATCAAGGTTTTAGTGACTAGTTAATTCTTACTTTCTGAAGCTAAGAGGACAGAATGAAGACAGGTGAGGAAGGAAAGAAAAGCAAAAGACACATAATAGAAAAAGGAAAGTTTCATCATATGGTATTCAGCTGTATAAAATATGACATCTTTAAATCAACCTCTCTGGAAATAAGACATTTAAAAGATCATCATAACTAAGGAACAAGGAGAATGTGCTGTTTTCTCATTGAGTTCACAGCTCTATTTACAGAGATTCTGCTCTGAAGGAAAAGGGAATATCAGTTTTAGCTTCCTCTATCCAGCTTGGCAGTCTTTGGCTATTTTCTGTCATGACCTTTTCTCATGTTTTCATCCCACTCAGAAGATATCTCTTTAGTTATGTGCATTTCTTAATGTAAAGGCAAAGCATTTTGATGCAAACATATTTTTTTAGCAGGAAACAGGTTTGATTCTGTATTTCACACCCCCTCTCTCATCTTAAACTAATAGGTTTTTACAGAGCCAGTTATGGTACATAATGATACTGTAGTCAAGAAGCATGAAAAGAAAGATAGCTCCTGCTTCACACAATGTTCAGCTTTGAAAAGAATTTGTATTGATTATGCACCACTGAATAGGAAAACTCAAGAGGCTATTTGTGTTTATAATTCATATTGTCTTATTCCATCTGTTTTTTCTTGGTCAGAGAACTGCGGATTTCTGAACATGAATGTGTGACCTTAATGTCTTACCTTAACCATCCTCAATAAAACAATGCTTAACTAAAACCATAAACCAAACATTACTTATTTGTCTTAAATTGTGTCTATAAAATTGTGTAGTCCTTGTTTTGGCCAGCAGAGAGTTTGCCTTGATGAAGTGAAAAAAAAGTGATGATGATGCAAGATCAAGCACAAAGGACGTGTGGACAAAGCTGGGCATGCATGGTGATGACATGCCTGCGTTTATGGTGTATTTTGGCTTTGTCACAGTGAAGAAAATCTGTGCAAGTATCCTCACAGCCAACCAGACTTTAGAGCACCTGGTCCTGAAACACCAGGAAACAGCTCAGTTCTGCCCAGATCTCAGTAGGAGCTGCAGCAGCCAAAAGTCACCATGGCCTGTAAATCAGAGGCAGCCTAAACTCAGTGAATTCCTCAGAAAGTCTGCGAGCCTGATGGATTTGTGTGATTCCTGGCAGCTACCAGGAAATGTGAAATTACTTTATACTTTCAGGTATCTTTGAAATAGGAAGTCTTTGAAATGTGTCTTTTATGAGACCTCTGTGTAGCAGACATAAGATTACCTCTCTAATGGTGGCACATGTACTTCTATTGTGAAAATCAGACAAAGCAGGCAAATGACACCAAACTACACAAGATAAATACTGTAAGCAGCTGTAATAGAACAATCACAAGCAATTTCAGAAATGAAGAGCACTAAAAGGAAAGGGGTAAGTCAGAGGATACACACAGGGAAAATGCAAAACTGTGGATCATTTTCAGTCTTGTTATTTCTCATAATGTCTTTGTTCTTGACTTTCCCAAATACATTCTTTACATTTGGGGAAAAAAAGGTAATAAATTATGGTTCTTCCATGATGAAAGGTTGGAGAATATAACATTGAAAGGGGATGCAGTTAAAAAAAAAGGAGGAAGAAATATATCCTAATTTTTTGGCAGTAGTTTCTAATTTATTGCTTAAGAGCTCTAAAAAAATCCCACAGCTTTGCACTGTAATATCTCCTCAGTGAACTTTATTAATTGTTTTTTGCAGTTTCACAGGCAACAGGAGACATTGTGATCTTGTATTTGCTTCAGTAATTGAATGGGAGAAAAGAAAGTAGTTAGTAAAATATATTTATTTATGCACTATTCCTCAATATTCTGACTGTTCTTTCATGTTTTTCTCCTTTTGGTCATTATGCACAGTAGAGTTAACCTAGAGAGTTCGCATCATCAAGAACATTTCAGAACTATAATGCATCACTAATAATGACACTGACTATGTCTCTGGGTCTAAAGGGCTCCGCAGAACTAACCATCCGATACTCCACGCTACATTTGAAGAGATAATATTGTTCCTGTTGAAGGTTATTCTGCTGCCAAGTCAACTTGCAGGGAGGATGGGATAGGAGAGGTGGTAGGTGGCTTCTTCATTTTCGCTGGCATCTTTACTATTGAATTACAATGGATGCTACATTATTGAAAAGCAGTGATATTAAAAGAAAGGATTTTCAATATCTGTATTATAGCAAACTCCTGATTCAACTGATAGCTCTGAGACAGGCAGTTACTGTCTTTAGAAATGTTTAGTAAACACTGGATTGTTTACATAGAGTACATTTCTGCGTTCATCTATATCATATTAACTGCAGATGTTAGAAGGATTGAATTTCATAATTCCTGGAATACTTGAAAGCAAATAATCTTGAATCAGGAGCAACAGGTATGAACCCAGGAGCCAGAGCCATGGTACAAGACCATCTCCAACATCTTTGTCCAAGGCCATCTCCAACATCAAATACAGTGTAGGGCACTCTCCTCTTGCAAGCAAGATGGGATTTTCATACACTTATTGATTCCACAACCAAGAATTGGGAATTCTTTTGCTGGGATTTTTAGGTTGATATGGTATTTGATATGATAGGCTTTGGAATGATAAACTCAAAGCTAACAATGGAAATCACTCTTATCTCTCTTACATGAAAACACACTTAGGTATTTTCAAATTTTCATGTAAAAGTCTAGGTAAGCCATGATTTCTCCGTTGCTGTTGAACACTCCCTGGTGGCTCACAGCATTCAGGTGTTTAAAACCAGTGTCATTAGATTTTGTTGGAGAGTAACACCACACTGCAGAGAGAAGCATTACCAGTGAAAAAAGTACAGGACTTTGCTTAAAGTGAAGACAAAAAGTTTGTGAAAGGTAACTGCCACTGTCTCTAGCTGTTCCAGAATGAACATACTCTACTCTTCCTACCTAACTATCTGAAGTAACTGTGAAACCCATGTCTAGTGCAATTCTTACCAATGAGGGAAATTATTCAAATGATCTCATGGCCTGACTTAGGTTGATACTCAAATTCCAATGCTCTCTGCCCAAGTTAGATGCATGTAGCAGAAAATGTGAGCAGCCCATGGCAGAGACAGACCTAAGTACATACCTTTCTGAATCAGAGCCAGAACATTTTAGGCCTGGAGAAATCCAAATAGTAGCAATAGACAAACTTTTCAAAACAAAAGCAAGGGAATAGTTTTGGTGAGCTTGGATTGGTTGGAGCTCTGCCTCCTGAAATGGCATATTCACTTTTTTCTTAAAGACAAGGTTGTCTGTCTCACAGTGTAAGGCCGTATCTCACACTGTGGAAACAAAAGCTCTGGGGCCTCATGCTGTCTGAAGAGGAATTTGACCAACATGCTCATAACTGAACATGCTTCAGTACATTGAATCTGAGTTGGGAATGTGTCCTTCCAGACTGCTGCAGTGGTTGCAATCAGTGTATTGGGGACCATCAGCTCCCTCTGCAGACTCTGGGAGGTGTGTGCTGCCCTGAGCCTGTGCCTGTGTCCCTAATGAGATCCACAGGAATCATGTGCTCCTGCTACAGGTACAGTCTGGATTCAAAAGTACATGTGGCTGGTGATAATCTGCCTTGATCCCATGGCAAAGTGGGGATGGCACATTTAAAGATCAGGGACAAGCACAAGCTTGTAACATCATGAAAGGCAGACAGGTTTAAGCAGTGAACAGGGAATGATTATTCAGTGTTTCATGCAATCACAGCACTAGAGACAGCAGGCTTGAAGCTATAAAAGGGTGCACTTTTTGACAACACCCTAAATCACTCCTTGTTCCTGGCTGTTACTGAGATCAGAAGTATCAGTGGGCTCCAGTGGACTAGACAGTCCTGTTGATGTCTAAGAAATATGATGAATCAGGAGCAAGCCCTAGCAGAGTAAACTTTTGCTAGGTGCTAGAAGGATATTCCAAGGGGAGGATCCCCATTTAAATGTCCTTTTTCTCAAAGCATCACTAACAAATGCTGAAGACCATGTACAGAGCTAGGATTCTATTTCTAATCCTCTGTGACATTCCTAACATTCTTAGGTACAACTGCCTTCTGAGTATGAATAGGGTGGTCCTTTCCTTGCATGTTCAAGATTAGACCTTCATCAGAGACAGATGATTACTTTACCCACAGTTCCATTCCAGAGGTGCAAAGTGCCTTGGATAGTTTTTTCTATTGCTCATATACCCCAAGAATCACATCTGTATGCTAATAATCACCTGTTGAAAATGCAGGTGCAGTTAAATTGCATGGCTCCCTTTGTAAAGAAGGCCTAAGGGAATGTGAAACAGGATTTGTATCCAGTTCAGCTGGTGGAACTCTGCCCATTGATACAGCACAGTCGGGGAAGCAGTGCTCTCACAGGATGCTCAGTGAGCAGAAAACTACAGGGAAAAGCAACCTACTTCTCTACCTTGCCAGTATTCTCCTGGGCTCCTGTTAAATTGTTAGCACAGGAGAAGGTTTTTCCACTTGTTCAGAGCAGATCTCTGAAGCTCTTTAAAATGTGGAATTACTCCAGAGGTACATGTGTGCTATAGGCTTTAGTGGGATTTAGGCCACTATACTGCAAGTGAACACAGAATGATGGATGATTTTAAATTAATTCATATTAAAAAAAAAAAAAAAAGATTTAAAGATTCTAATAGTAACACCTAAAATGTTTTCTCTGTACCACGAAATAAATAGCTGCCTTTTCACTGGAGCATATGTTTGACCAAAGGGAGGACTGGGTAGGATGACCCTGAAAACAGTGACATTTGCTGTTTCTCTTTCAGAAAACATAGCTCACCCTGCCCATGTGAGCTGTTTTACAGCCCAGGCAGGCAGGCAGGAAGCTGTCTTGGTGTTACAGCAGCAATAAGAAAATGGTGTTACAGTGTTTGGCTTGTACAAACTTCCTACATTACCTAAAAATAACTAAGTAGCACATTTGGGAACTATTACGCAGGAGGTGCCTGCACAAGCTCATCGTGTGCATAATATGTTTCCTCTGTGTGTGTGTATACTTCTCGTATGTCTTCCTGAAAATACAGCTTTCCTGGGAGCAATTCTGAAGGATTTTCAGGATTTTTTTGGCCTTTGCTAAGATCTGTAATTGCCTGTCTTTGCTGTGCAGCAGAATAGTGTGATGTCCATGTGATGCTCAGCAGCAGAAAATAGCAGGATAGAAAATCTTCACTTCTTCAGCAGCTCTTCCCTTGGTGATGCACCACGACCAAACCAAGGCAGATCAGCAACAACAAGGGAAAAACACCAAATTCCTCCCACTAAGTGGCTCTAATAGGGCAACATGGCAGCATGTGTGTGGCTGGAAAAGAAACCAATCTGGTAGGTGATACCAAAACTGTTCATTTGGTTCAGAGCACGAACAACTCAACACCATCCATATTTATTTTTTTAAAGATTCAAGTTGGTTACAGTAATCAGGCAGTATAATACACAATAATTTCTTCTAGGTGACAAATGGGTTTACTGAGAGTTATTCCTATCTGCCACTCTCAGACTTCTTGGTGTTTGTAAGACTTCTCAACTCCTTCAAATCCAGCAGGACTTCCCTCCAGCTCTACAGTCATGGGCTCAGAGAGTTGGTTGAGGTGTAAGGGCTCAAGAGAATGCTAATTAGCCAAGAGTGCTCAATTTTTAGGTTATACCTGGTTTATTTAAGCCTGGTTAATCAATTCTCAATTTGATGGCTCTGTGCAGGTCCAGGAACCGGACCTGATGATCCTTGAGGGTCCCTTCTGTGATTTTACATAAGGACTTGCCAAGAGTTGCAAAAACACCTCCTTTCCACAATTGCTCATCCACTATGGAGATTTTATTTTTTAACTTTATTGTTCATCTATAGAAAAAAGAGACTGCTTACTTAAGTTGTCTTCATCCTCCATGGTGGTTGGGCCAGGACTCAGGTACTTGAAGGGTGCTATGAAGGTTGACAGTATGCTTAGTTTTTCTAGAAGAAAACAGAAGAAAAGATACATAAAAAATCAGTACTATATGAATGCATTCACATCTACTTCACACCTTTTCTCAGGTCAAAACATATTGTTAAATCTGTTTGGTTTTAGAACCGAAGGAATGGTCTGAAGTTGTGTCAGTGAAGATTTAGGTTGGATATTAGAAAAATGTTCTTTCCCCAGAGGGTGTCTGGGCACTGACCCAGGACAGTGGTCACAGCACCAGCCTGATGGAGTTAAAGAAGTGTTTGGATGGTGCTCTCAGGCACACAGTGTGATTCTTGGGGATGGTGCTTTGCAGGGCTGGGAGCTGGACTCAATGATCCTTGTGGATCCCTTCCAGCTCAGCACATTCTGTGATTCTGTGACTCTACAGTACCACCACAGTTTACTGAATCTTGATGCATTTATTACACCTGGCACATGCAAACACCAAATACACATTCCTCCTGGTCTTTGCCCCCATGTAGTGTTTCTTGACTGTGCTTCCCAGCAATGGTGCCCAAGCACGGCAGAGTAGGGGATGCTTGAGCTGGTCCAGCTGGGAATGGGGTAGGCAGTCAGCCCTGGGAGAGGGGACATGAGACTGCTCTGATGGATGAGACCATTGACTTTGCTTCTTTCCTCTCCCTAATGGAGACTGAACCAGAATTCTTAGAGGAAACTCAGTGGTGGATGGCACAAAAGACCACCTTGGCTTGTAATTCTATAAGTTTTTGATATGATTTTTGGAAAACTCTTATGGTGTGCCCAGAAAGCTATTGTTCACACAATGAGAACTCTATTTGAACTCCCTCTTGTGCGTTCATATTAAGTGCTTTTAATGGTGGTTTCTGTTTATCCTGCAGATAGTGTATGGCAGAGACATTTACTTCCAGTGCCATGATCAGACTCTGCATTAGAGACATGGGAAAATTCATCAAAATGAGAACTAACTTATACTAGGTCAATACTTGGCTCAGGATTTATCTACAGAGAAAAGTTGAAGTTAACGCAAACACTAGAAACAGATATATATTTAAGTGCTTTATTTCCTTTGATAACTATTTTTTTTAGCTGAACATTTATTTTGTTTAGGCTGAATTCCTTCTGATACACTTCTGACTTTATTGAGGACCAACAATAACAGAGTGTCTACTTGACAAGAAACAGAAACACAACCGACAAAGGTGATCCGCAGCTTTGAAGAACTTTGTTGCTTTCCTGAAGTACTTCTTTGCTTAGAAAGCCTCAGCTGTGTCTAAGGAAGTAAGTTACTGAGGCTCACCTATTTCCTCAGTGAAAACACTCTGCATCCTGCACATTGTGAACAATGTTGGCCTCTCATCCTGTGGCAGAAGCATCAAAATCAGACCAAGAATTTATTCTTTGAAGTGACACACAAAAAAATATTTCCATGGGAAATTTCTTTGTCATTGAGAAAATATTTCTCTGAGTTTCCTCAAACTACATGTCTGCTAAAGTATCACTGGTCTAGAAGGTATTCCAGCTGTAGAGCTCTTAAACTTTTTCAGCAGCACATCTGTTAGCTTTTTGGCCTGGTTCTTTCTGCATTTGCAAAGAATCCTTGCTCTTGTTAAAGATTGTTATCAGAACCCATCAAAAATGAGTGCATATGTTTGCCCTTGGCTGGGTAACATTACAGCTCAACTCTATTACGCGAATTCACTGTAAAGCCGACTGCTCTTTGTTAAGTAAATACAATAACCAGAATAAAAGATTGCCTGAAGAAAACCTTTTTCCGTCCAGAAACCTTTCAGCCCAGACTAATATATAATTAGAGCACAAATTAGCCTCCTTCAATTGCAATTTCATTACGGGATTGCAGTGATATCAGGAACCAAAAGAATGAAGCTATTTATGAACGCTATAGCCAGAAGATTTTCCTAAGTGAAAATCCTTTGACACTCTTTTGCTAAGGCATTGCTCACTGAGGAATGTGGTGTCTCTGTATGACATCTCACAGTGTGTGAGACTGTGGGGTTGTGATCATGATAAAGGCTGGTATTCACTCCTGACTTTCTCAACTGGTTTCTTTGATTGAAGTGAAAAGAGTGTAGGCTTTTGGGACCTAATCCAAAGGCTGCACTTGGTAAGGGAAACGCTTCAGATGATAGACATAGGATCAGGGCAGCCCTTGGCTGTAGTACCAGCAGTGACTGTTGTGTCTGGGTACTGAGATCCTAAAGTGTGTGTACTCCACCTGTGCCTGACTGCTGACAGCTGCAGACCTTCAGGATTAACCCTCAAGACACTGATGTCACGCACAAACCTAAACCTTCTTTGCTGAGAAAATATTCTTGCTTCTCATAGGGAGTTAACCCATTAACCAAGCAATATGGAAGTGCTTTCTTGCTGCAGTGGCTAATGCTTGCTCCTGACACCAATCAAAATGCAAATCCATTTAGTTTTATACTATTGTTAGGTAAAGGGATATTTTATGATTTAATTTTGTGTAATAGATAGGTGAAATTTACAATGTGGATTTAAAATTAATCAATTTTATTTTTATGTTGTCTTAAGGGACACTTTTACCATCTTAAGCTTTTGTTGGTACAGTTTTCCACCTGTCCCCAAAGCCTTTGCTGGTGACTTCACTTTGTGTGGCAGAGAAACAAGATGTAAAATTTACTGCATGCTTAGAGAGAAGCAATGTATGGGTTTGTGTTAACCAAACACAGGCAGGTCCTAATAACAGGATATAGTTCTATCAATACCAATGATAAAGATTATAATTGAATATGTCAATCCATTGACTAAGCAAGGGAACATTAAGTGCCTGTCTGGGAGGAGGAGAAGGGCAAGGTTTTGGGTAAGCTCTGTAAAAAGAGAAAAGCTGTAGTATACATGCTGTACAGATGAATTATTGACCCAGTGAAGGAGGAAAAGATAAATGACAATTATTAAGTGAAGGTGCTTAGCTTCAGAGGGAAATAGTCAGGTTAGGTTTAAAATGATTGGTATTATTGTGCACTTCCATCTTTTGCATGTTATTGCATGTTGCTGTACAGACCATGAGGCACTTCAGCTTTATTACTAATGGTGAAATTCAGTGTTAATTGTCAAGATTAGGAGAGTTGTGTATTCACATTTTATGGTCCCTGTGTAGGTTAATGCCCATCATAATTAGCCTTGTTTCCAGCAGTTTGATGAAATCTTATGAATACGAATAAAGAACAAGGTTGGATTTGAAAAAATCATAGAGAGAAATACCACTAAAGCCTCCTTCTTTCACTCTCTTTTCCTTCCATGACTTTGCTCTGTATCTGTCTGAGGAAGTTATTTTTCAAGGTTAGGAGAGAGGGTTTAAGTGGAAAAAAAAAAGACATTTTAAAAATTCTTTTCTGCAGAAATGCAGAATATATAAGCCTATGTTTATGAGAAGTAATACATGAAGGTATTATTGCTGGCATTACAGTTGTACCCAAAGCCTCTGGTGCCATGAAGAAGAGATTTCATAAGGGCCTACATGGACACAAAGAAAGCTTTATTTACATTGGAAATTGAGTGACAAAGAGCAGGTATAGTGGAATTTATCTCTAGCTGCCCTGGAACACTATCACAAGATGATAGCATCATATTTTGTAGTGCATTCACTATAAAAACAGTCTTCCAAGTGGAAATCTGCTCCAGTACTCTGAGCACAAAAATCATAATTTCTTCTGAAGAGAAGCCTATAATAGGAAGGAAACCTCACTCTTCTCTTTTGGGATGGAAAAAAATTTCAGTTCACTCTTCCAAGAATGTGTTTTCCAGCAACAGAAAATAGTTAACATAGAATCATTAACAGTGTTTTTACAGTAGCCATAAAAATAATTTAAATAAAAAACCCCATGGAACAAGATATGTGTTGCATGAAATACAGAAAATGCTTAAGAACAAATAATTCAGCAAAGCCTGGCACATAAGGCAGGCAAGTTTACACTTAAACCTGTTGTTTTGGTTTTTTTTTGTGAAGTTGCTCTTGCCCTGGGGATGCAGGCAGAAGACTGGTCACAGGTCCCGTAAATACACCTTTATTGTGAAGACAAGAATGCACATATACAGCTATAAACACATTCGTGCCCTTCATACCTATCAGTATTTGAAGGGCACCAGACAATACTGCTTGATCATCAACTCTGTGGAAGATCTTTCACTCTCAATCACCCGAATAAAAGCAATGGGAACAGCAGGAGCTCAACACTTTTAAAAATCAGCCCTTATACATGCTGGACAAATTGTTTAGCTTTGAGAAGAGCAGACTGAGTGGGGTCATAACAGCAGCCTGAAAGCACATAAAAAGCTGCTGCATGGAAGAAAGGAGCAAACTGTGTTCCATGTGCATTAACACAACTAGAAGTAATGGACTTAAATTGCACCAAGGAAAATTCACTTTAGACATTAAAAAAACCTTCCTAACAGTAGGGATAGTGCAGTGCTAGAATAGCTTGTCTGGTGGGAAGGTGCAGAAGGGCTGTAGGGAGCTGGAATCTGCAGGGGGTTGCACTTTATATATATAGAAAGGGCCCATCCTTTATACCCTCCCATCTCTACAGACTCCAGCAGAAAAACTTGAGACCTGACCCTGAGATTCTGCAGCAGGTTCTAGCTCTAACTTGGAAAAGTGAGTAGTATTTGCTGGTATTTGCTATCTCTGAGCAGAAGTTTGTGGCGTGCTCTTTTGCTTGGCGGCTAATGAGCATGATTAATAATTGTTTTTTGAAAATGCAACTTTCAAACACAAGAAGGATTAGACAGATGGATACTAGTGGTTTGCCAGATCAGCGTTAACAATGATTTACTGAATTAGGTTCATTCTCATATTCAAATTGATTACCATAAGCTACTTTACTTGTCAGTGGTTTCTTCAATAGTACTCTTTTAAAAACAAAATGTGGACATTATAAACCAGTCCTAAGTAATTAATTTGGTTTGTGTGGAATATGAAATTACTCTGCAAGGGACAAATATGATGCAATTGTGTAAACTCAGCTGCAAAACATCTTAAAAACCC